AGGGGGCCGCGAAGCTGGGGCAGGAAGGCTAACGGCAGAGCGCCCGGGTGCGTGCCTCGGCTCCCCTGTGACCCTCTCGAACCGCCGAACACCCTACCTGCGCCAGCCGTGATGAAATGCGGAGCGTTTCCTCGGGCTCCTTCAAAATACCGCCCGTCGCGAGCACTAACGGTCAGCTGGGCGGCTCGTGTCGGGGGAAAAAACTCCAGAAGACCGGAATTGTTGGCTGCGTGGGCCGCTGGAGGTTTTTAGCCTGGGGCAGATTACACCACTGTACTTGGTAACCGTGGGTCCAGTCAGTCTGGAAAAAACCCCCCTTGTCCTTCGTTCGTTTGCATTGTTTCTTTCAGCTAGCGCGCTGTCCATCTGTGCTGTGATCATAGATCATAGCATACATAACCCAGGTTAATGAGGTTACCGTTGGCAGGATAACAAAGTTCGCTGTATTGTGTGTAGTGTTTGCTGTCGAATAAAAATTACGTCATATTAGAAGTGCGTAAAACGTGCATTTGTTGAAGTGATGCCCTGCAAATAGTTTTTCTTACAAATATTTTCAGATTCATTGGACGCCCTACGTAGAATAACCTGCTTAATCAGCACATTAGTCCTGACAATGAGAACTGACATACTGTTTACTGGCTGCGCAATAAAAGTACATTTAGGCTGGAACCTTCAGATCGGTTGGATTGAAAATTGCTTTGCCAGGACAGAAGGTCCCTCACCACACACACGTAGTTGGGGTTTCAAGACCTGTTACAGCTCACCTTTTAAGTTACTAAGAACAAACCTTTTTTGGTATAGAGGGGGTGAAACTTTCATTAACTTACTAAAAGCCAGATTTGCTTCTCAAAGGTGGTGCGATATTTACACAGATCAGAGAACTTCTGCAAGCCGCTTGCATGGGGTAACTCCGACGTCAATGAGCGGCACTAAGCTACGGGTAACGGAAAGGGCAAGAGTCTGTTACAGAAATGCAGCCTTCACGCTGTTCAGATAATCATCATAAGAGAATTCAGATCATAAGTAAAGTTAGTTTATATTCACAGTTACTAGCTAGACAACAGAACAGATTATACGCATGGCTTTTTTTTTTTTTTAGTTAATTTTAGCAGGATGTAGCAGGAGAAACAACTGTTAATAAGTGAAATAATGGCACGGTGGGTCACTGCAAATTAGCTCCATGTTGTTTTTACCCCCATATTGCACATCAGCTAAATGTCAATGAAGGCCCTAAATGCCCATGAATAACATGAAGGAAGTAAAACAGAGTGATAATAAAAGCCTATTAGATAAAGTTTTGTTTTTCATTAGCAGAAACAAGAGGAGCTACATATTGTGGAAGAGGTAAAACCACTTTGTTAGCTCTGTTAGAGTTACATAAATGGGAACATAAGTCACTGTTTACTTTTCTCTTCCCTATATGACTGAGTTACTGGCCTCTCTCATTGCTTTGCTTATGTTGGGTCCCTCTCATGGTCAACAACTCTTCCACTTCTCGAAAGATCACAAACGTATCTGGTGTATTTATCTACCTTAGCATTAGGTGACGTTGCAGTTGCGTCTTGAAATGGGTACGTATGGCATACAGAGTCTGACACTTGAATGACTACCTAATCTGCAGTGTCCCAGCTACAGAAACTTCCAGAGCACCAGCTGACATCTACTAGCAATTGAGTTGTACTTTCCTACATTTTCCCTTGCTTTTTTTGCATCCATAAAGAACAGGTTTTTCATTTGTGGAAACTTCAAAAGAAGAGGAATTCATGTTTATTTATAGGGTGGTATGAGGTGTATGTTAATGCACAGTATTACCTTGAGAAGAAATGCCTTCAACAATTCCTTCACTTAACATGGAGATGTAAATAAGTACACATTTGAAACTGTATTTACTTGTTTCTGTTTATTGCTTCTTGACTAGAAACATTAAGTGAATGATATATACACTAATATTAAACTTAACATCAGTTAAGACTCAGTACTTCCATGACAGTAAAAACAAGCCCAATCCAAAAACGATCAAGACAGACCCCAATCCTTACCTCACAATTCAGCTGAACAACAGGTGATAGTTAGGTATAATTGTGAAAGATACAATCATTTGACATGTTAAGTGGTTTATCTATCTCATTAGAATGAAATACTTTGCAGTCTACTCAGAAAAACGTGCCACAAGACAATAGGTCCATTTATCGTGCTGTAATAGCATCTTTATAATGTGGGCAGATTTGAAGTGTTCTTGCAGTGTGGAAAAATGCATTTCTTTCATACCTATAACCACACATGCTATACACAAGACCTTGCCTAAACAATAGCAGAAAGCAAAAATTCCTTTCCTAAGTACATCTAATAATCTAAGACAACATTTTCAAACATGACTGGCTGAAGTCCACCACTAAAATAAAACTAACCTTACTTTCAGCAGTGCCATTTTTTTATGTAGGAAAGAGTTACGGTTAGAAGTGTTAATCTCATTTAAATGCCGACATTCTGGTCTCTGCCTTCAAGTTTGTGCAGCTGTTACGCGTATGCTTCTCGGTGACCACTGTCCTCTTACAAAAAAGATTTGCTTTTCATCCTGAATGCATTACCAACAACAGCATAGCAGTAAACTGAAGGGTATGTGTAGTCCTTGCTCTGAAGCAGATACGGAATCCAGAAGAATAATTTGTCTGTGAAAGGACATGACTAGTTAGTACAAACAAAATAATATATTGGTCCATCTGGCTTAGCTAGAGGATGCTGAATTTGGTCCTCTGTTTTTTTTTCCATTTTAGTAGTACAGAAATAAGTATCACACTTTGAGTGGCCAAGTGCAATTCTTCAAAAGCCCAAACAAAAACAAAGTGAAATAAGCAATTCTCTCAATTTCATAACACAGCCCTAAAGAAAAAAAAAAGTAAGTACTTTTATGTTCCTTTTCAGGAACAAATTTATCTTTAGGTACTGATTTTGGTCTCAAACATGGCTCGTATAAAATGTTTTTAGATAAAAAGCGTACAGAAGCCAGTCATTATCAATACTAGGTGATGGTCTGGCAACTAAATTTTCTAGCTCTATATCCAAATAAATTAAATAGTTTGTTATTGTTTCTGACCCAAGAAAGTGAAGTACTACATTGTTCTAGGAAACCTAAGTTACACAAGTGCACTGCACTGCACTTCACAGTGCAATTTTTGAAAAACATTTGTCTTTTTTGAAGTTACTGCAAAAAATCAATATAAATAATTTCTTCAGTGTTAAAAGGCCTTTGAATGAAAGTTCTTAGATACTGTGTTAATTAAAATCCATCGCGGATTCACTGAAACTGTGTGAGCATAACACCTAACGACTTGATAGCGAGCTGTAAGAACTAAAGAACACTTACTCATTTATCCATGGTTGATACTTAACAAGACCATGAACAAAGAAATCTAATACCATTGCTTCAATAGCAACAGCTATTAAAAATGCAATGAAGAGTAACTATGTCTTAGTGACACTAGGCTTTTTGTCCATTTCGATGGAGTCTGGAGCAATAAAACTGACACCAACTCCAAGGCTTGAGCGTCTCAAAGATAATTCGGAGGGAGGAATATGACGCAGCTCTCGGCGAGATAGTTTTACTGGAGTTACTCCTTGAAACTGTGTTACAGTTTCTCTTCTCTGGATGACAGAAGGTAGCTGAGGATAAGATTTTGAAGGCTGAGCTTCATCTGTTCCTGTTTTGTCATCACTAGTGCTTGACAAACA